GTTGGCCTTGTGCTTGCTGACTCATTTTTAGCAATCGTGCAAGAAGTGCCAGTATTTACCACCTCTGTTTGGTCTCTTCTTTTTCAAATCTCGTTTTGAGTCCATCATTTCTTTATTATCTTTGGACATCCTGCCAGCTGCTTACTGCCCACAACCTTTGTCTTACTTGCCAAGAAAGGCACTCGTTATAGGTCATAGTTAATGATGTTGGTTCTATTCCAAAAAAGTATTTATTTGGTATCTACCATGCACTGATCATGGGCCTAGGGAATATAAAAAATAATGTAGGTCATTTTCCTACCTCAAAAGAGTATATGATGTCAAGGATGTACCACTTCCTGAGACCCCTACCAACTTTCCACATTTTCCATGGAAGCATAAAATGCCACATATGGGATGAGATGATTACCATTGCTCAGACCTGGGAAATAGTCATGCTTCTGGACCAAGTGCCACATAGGTCATTTACTCCAGGCAGTGGTGGACCAAGGTCTCAGGTGGGGTTTCCTAAATTTATAAATCTGGCTGCCAGTCATTCCCTGGAATGCCTGAGAGTTGCCCATCCCTGTGGTATCCCTATAAACGTGCCTTGCAGAAATTTCCTCCATCTCTTGGCAAAGGAGCACACTGCATTCTGGAACAAAAATTAATATACTTTCCAAAGCGAGGACTCATAAATGGAAGACCAGCACCATAGGTGAGGGGTTTCTGACCAGGCCTACTACCTGAGAAAGATGGATGACTGTATGAGCTCTGTCTGGGGAGGAATGTTTTGAGCTACCCTTGAGTTTGAGGAGTGTGGAGCAGATACCTAATGTATATGTGGAACTTAGTGTCAAAATATGAAAACGTCTAATTTACAGGAAGCTGAATTATACTGGCTGTATTCTGAAACAGCAAGCAGCCATTCTTAATCATTATGTGGGTCTCAGATTCCTTTGAGATACTCAACCCAGGGGGAAAATATGTATGAACAAAAAATTTTGCAAATAACCTGAAGAAGTGCACAGGTGACACTTCCACCATATGAAGAACTCTGCTCTATGTGATGGTCCTAGAGAAAGTACTAGAATGGTTTAGTCTAACTTGTATTAAAGATTTTTTTTTCCTTCTGGAGGAAAATACAAGCTCTACTGTAACCTTGTTCTGCAGCAAAGACTAATGAGAGCCAGCTCAGCAAAGTCTCAGCAGATGATTTTAGTTCAGAGTCTCCGTGAAATGATTCTAAATGTAAAACAACTTCCAGAGACTATAGTCAGTCATTTGCTTTTTCATTACCCTAATGTCTTTTGGTTGTCAGAAATCAAACAGTCGTGTTAACACAAACCTATACACTGACAAATAGATAGAGATAGATATATGTGCTTGGGGAAAGCAGTATATGGTAATAGATGATAAAACATGCTCTGGAAAATAGGAGGCATTTTTATTTAGTGCTTTTTTCATTTGACAGGCAAAACCTTTGCACTTTTGGAGAATTTTGATGGAATAAGGCAATGCTGTTTTAGTTAAAAATGGAAATGAGAATACATCTTGTCTATATGGCGGCCATATTCTTCTGGTTTACTTTTTAGCCATTTTCCAGTTTAGTGTGCTGGAACAAGTGACGTGGAACTGTTCAGAAGGGATGCTGTGATCCAGGCGGTGTGCACAGATCTTTGCACATATTGCCTCTGACCCTCAGTGTCCTCAGTTGTACAATAGTCAGGATACTATATTCCCTGCAGTGCTGTTTTGTGGAATGGAGAAAACAAAAAACAAGTCTAATCCTTGGGTTTGTTGCTCCTTCAGTTGTTTTAAGTCGTCTGTCATCCATTCACTTACGCATTCAGAGAAACCTTTGTGGTATACCTGAATTCTGTATTCCTCTATATTCACTATTATTTGTATTTCTTTATTCCAGAAGCTAGAAATAAGGCTAGGAATTACTCTACAGAGACAAAGCATTCTTGATATATTTCAAAACTTGATAATCTAAAATTAAACAACTTCTTGATTTGGCTAGATCCCAATCCTTGGCATGGCCTGTAAGTGCCTGTGTGATCGGGCCCCACCGACCCTCTGACTTTGTCCGTCCCCCTCTCTGTATGCTCCAGTCACGCTGGCTGCTTTCTGAATACTCTCAGCAGGGCACGCTTCTTCTCATCTTAGGGCCTTGGTTTCTTTTCCGTTGATTCTTTGCTTGGATGGTTTCTTCTCATCATTTAATTCACTTGTTCAAATGTCACCTACTCAGAGAGACGTACTGGGCCCACAATATATGTAAAGCAGCTCCTCCTATTCACTAACATATCACTTATCGTGTTTCCTTCATAGCATTTATGAGTATCTGAAATTGTATTTTTTTCCATATTTGTTGCCTGTCTTTTCCCTGTAAAATGCAAACTGCACGAGAGCAAGACCTTGTTGGGGATCCAGTGATAAAAATGTCTGTTTCACATGAGGCATCAATAATGGCATGTTGAATGAATGAATGAGCTTTTGTCTCATGCTGAGATTATGTGAGGAAAACCAGGGGTTCTGACTTGTGATTCCAAACCAGTTGGGGATTTGTTCATGATAGTAAACGCTTGCTTAGTAAGAATTAACAAAATGCCAGGCACATAGCTAACTAGATAATTTAAGTACTTTACATGTATTAACTAATCTAATTCCTACCACCCTATGAAGTAGGTATTATGATCACTCCCATTTTATAGAGGCAAAAATTGTGGTACAGGGAGGTTAAGGAACTTGCACAAGGCTACACAGATAGTAGATTTGGAAGCAGATATTGGAGCCAATGCTCTTCACTAACTAATAGAAAGTGCTCAATAAATACAGCTTTAACCATGTGCCCAGCACTCTGCTGAGTACTTCATATGCATGGTGTCATTGAGTCCTTGCTTCTACACTATGAGGTAGGTACTGTCGTTATGCCTGTTCTACAGATAGGGAAGCTGAGGCTTGGAAAGCTTAAGCTACTTGTCTAAGGTCCCGTAGATGCTTAGTGATGGAAAAGAGACTTGAATGTAGATAATATGACTCTGAAATCTAAAATCTTAGGCATCGTCTCCATATTACAAGAATGCTTGTAGGTTGCTTTTGGATCACAGTCATTTTGAGGTTAGTGTCCCCCACTCAAAGGGTTTCCATTGCTGTAAAGAAGGTGTATCCATTACTTGGCTACCGATTCATAATGGCTGCGGAGCAGTGCCAACTCAAAGAAATGAACAGAAGAAGCAGAATTTGTATCAGTATAACCACTTGTCGGTAAGGAATAATATAGTTGACTAAATATCCATTTCTTCTGAAAGAGCATAAGAATGGGATTAGATATCTGATAACTGTGAAAGGTCAATTTTGATTTCTAAAATAAACCAAGACAGAATTATATGTATATTTATATATCACCAGGTCTGATCTGTACTGAGCTGAAATGTAGTGTATAAAGTTTAGCACTGTTGTTTATTGAAAGTTACCAGGTTTTTTTTTTTGGTACACCAAGTACTTTCTCTGTTCCATCAGTGACAAAAGCCATCTCTAGGGATGATAGGATGTTGTGGCTACATTTTGTCTAATATTCAGTTCCATCTCCGTCACTAGGCATTATTAGCCACACATGCACAACCAATTTACTCACAACACAAGACGGGGCTGTAAAATCCCTAGAATCCACGCATTATTGCCCTGGCTTTGAACAAAATATCCATGTGAAGAATTATGCTCGTATATGTGGAGATCAAACATTCTTTCTTTCAAAAACTCCCTAGACCCCCTGAGGCCAGTTGATTCAGTAAGAAGGAAATGAATTCCACCAATATGCTTGAACTCGGAGATTCCAACATTTTCATAGAACTTGTTTTACAAGTGCTGTTGCACACACAATCCTATGTGATCCCACATGAACCTGTATTTGATGCTCACCATTACCCAAATGTGTGGGCAGGGCAGGTGTTACTAAGCCACTTTACAGATGAAGAAATTGAGGTTAATAGAGTTTAAAGACCTTTCCCAAGGTCAGGCAGCTAATAAATAGCAGAGCCAGCACCGATCCAAAGTCCTTGGACTCCAAGTTACATACTTTCTGCCGCCCACATCTCCCCCTTGTCAGAGAGAAGCCGTCAGTGGTGATATTACAGGTTCTGAGCATCTCTCCTGAAGATTTTCTTACTCCTAGGTCTGCTTCTAGAGGATGGAACCTATGGAGCTTAAGATGTCCTATCTTTGACTCAGTGCTATGTGCACGTCTGTTGTTTCATTGGGTCTCAGCCCTGCTTGCTTTAAGTCTGTGAAAGCAATGAGTACTATTTGTGGGCCAGGACTAGCATTATATGGTTTCCAGCTTTTCAACCCACTTCTATTCTGTTTCCTCTAGAACCTCCTGGCAGCTTCTCCTTGCAGCCAGTGTGACAGAAACAGGTGGGGATGGCATTTCACAGTGACTTGTTTCCCTTCTCAGCATCTGCATGCTCTGGGATCCAGCAGAGGCTTTATTTCTCAAACTCATTGCCCTTTGACACACAGTCCTGCCCACTGCTCCAACTTTTATTGTTTCTTCCAGGTTTTGAAAGAGTTAAAAAATTTATCAAACATAAGTGTTTACTCAGGGAATGGAATTGACAGATAGGTGGGTCGGTAACTTCAGCTGAACATGCCTCCAAACCACAGTTGTTAAGAGATCAAGTGATTCAGCATGAAGTAAACCAGCTAGCCTCAGGCAGCGAGGGAATGGGGTGCAGCCAGGCCAGTACTGGCTGCTCATTCGTCCAGAACCAGAAAGGCCGGGCATTGGGGGTCCTGCTAAAACTCAGCTGGCTAGTGCAGAGGCCTGACCAGTAGAAGACAATAATTGCCTAACTTTCATCTGATTGGAAAGAATGCAGTTTACTCATATGTACTGGCCCTACAGGACAAGTAGATGGTTGAATATATTTGAATAACCAAGCTTTCCAAACAGAAGCAGACATACTCCTAGTGATGTGTAAAATGCAAATAAACTCAACCAATCTCTCTTTTCATTGTAGATACATGAGTTGTGGACTTTCCTATACCAGAAGTCAGAATGCTGCCCCTCTGTCATGCTCTAGCTATAGCTGTTGTCCAGATTGTTATCTTCTCAGAAAACTGGGTGTTCTCCAAGAACATCAACTTCTATAATGTGAGGCCTCCTCTTGACCGTAAGTAACGTTGCCATCGTGGTTCATGCTGTGGGGTCAGAGTGCCCATTTGAAGTCCCTGGTTATACCTATAGTAACTTTGCCTTTTCTGGAACATATGATTTGTACCTAGAATAAACCAAAAAGTCTTCATTACTTCCGTGGGTAAGGGTAATACGTGATGACAAAAATTATCTTCATTTCTTTAAAATGGTTTGGCTTCCTGCTGAAGTTTCAAAAGGGTTCTTGTTAAAATAACCTTTTGAACACTGTCCCTAAGAATGGCTTAGCAGAGGGAATTCAATGTTGTGGGAGAAGGATATTGGCTGTAGGATGATTCTGCATAAATGATGTATAAATTCTTTCAAATGGCCATTAACAATTTTGAAAACAGATTAGTGTGTTTGAAATTTGGAGGAGAATTATACTTGGATTTTCACTAATATTATGCATAGTCATTATTAGCAAATCCTGTATAAAACTCAACTTTCCTACTAATAATTTAAAAATAAGGAAATATCAGGGTGTATTATCTACAGGGTAATTTATATTAATATATTTTATATATATATGTGTATATATGTGTTTGTATACAAATATCATCTCCCCTCCATTCTCTCTCTTCAGACAAGAAAAACTTCTCTGATATACTTTATTAGAAAGATTGTTATAAATAAAAATTGTTTGGTATAAGTGAATGCCTGTGGTTCCCACACCTGGAAGAGTATCAGAATCATGATACAAGCTTTTAAAACTATGTTTCCAGGTCCTTTCTCCAGAGATTCAGTAGTTAGAAGGATGGGATACAGAATTTTTTTTTCTTTTCTTTTTTTTCCCCTTCTTCTTTTTAAAAAAGCTCTCCTGATACAAATGATGTACAGCCAGGTTTGGGAACCACTGTCTTTATACTACTCCCAACTGAGGTCTCTATCACTATGGTGCTTTACTTTGTGTTTTCTTTATTATTTAGGACATTCAGTGATCCCTCTATGTACATATACATATACACATATACATATACACATGTATACCACACACACACCTTGAACTATCATTTAATATACATTTCTAAATTGATAATGATCGTATACTGATAGCTTAATGGCATGGCACAAAGTTTTCATAAAACCTAAATTGACAAGTTTCGAACTTTTAAAGCCTAATACAATTTTATGATGAGAAAAAAATCATTAAAAAAAGTAATATTTGCTCACTACAGAAAATTCCAAAGAGACAGGAAGAGTACAGGAGCAATTAAAATTTATTCATAATCCCATGATTCAGAGTGAGCTCTTCTTTACATTTTAGAATATATTTCCTTCCACTGTTATTTCTACATATGTGTATTTAAATATGTGACATCCTGAGATCACACAAATTTTATTTTGCAGCAGTTTTTCTCCCATTACACTATATTTTGAATATTTTTACATGTCTTTGAAAGTATTTTAATGCCTTTTACATTCAATTATTTTAAATCATATGGCTAGTCTATAGCTTATTTAACCAATTCCCTGTAATTTATATTAGCCACAGATACACACACACACACACAATCACAAGGAAGCTAAATGTTAATACTTCATTGAAAATCTTTTTAAATGCGTTTTCCTCTTCAGTTGGCTAATGACCTTAGAATTCTAAGGAATTCTTGGATTCTTGGAATTAGAATTACTAAATCAAAAAGGTTCTGCCAATTTATACTTTACAGTCACCAGCATTGAGTATTAGTATTTTTAAACTGTACTAATTTAGTAGGTGAAAATGGATTTTATTATTTCATTATTTATTTATTTACTGACCTCATTCACTTTTCTTCATGGGCAAAACTGAAATGTATTTGCAATTCTTAATTTCATGTCCTGTGAACTTTAGCTTTCAATATTTTGCTCTCGTTTTATGCATAGATATATATCCTCCCCTGTGTCTGAAATACCCACTGCTTTCTGATTATTATCCCAACTTGTCGTCAGGTTACTAGAATGGTTTGGGGTTCACCTTGATCTTTGTTTCATTCTCCAAAAATGAGAGAATTGAAAGTTTTACACAGGGCTTTATGCCCTCACCTATAGAAAACTGTCTAATTTATTATACTTTTGACTTATTGGCCATTAAAATAACAAGATACAATGCAGAAAAAAAAATTATAAAGACAAAAAGAACATAGTAGTTGCTCTCCATCCAGACTGCCAGCAGCTCATAATTCCTCCTTTCCTGAGTGTAAGGGCCTGAGAATTACTATCATCCTTATGTTATGTGTTACATTCCTGATCGGGGACTAATGCTGTGATAATTGACCTCTATCAAATAAGACTACTTGTTTGAGGTTAAATGTAGCCATAATGCAGGTGCATATGGATGGAAACCAGCAGGATCTGATGTGCCAGGGACTCTGCTAGATATTCTTCCTGCAACGTCCTGTGTAATCTTCACTATACCTCTGCAAGTCATGGGATCTTCATCGTTACTGTTATTGTAAATATTATTATTTCTTAGAAGTTGAAAATCACACAACTAATTAGTGGGAAGGACAGAATTCAAGCTCAGGTTAATCTGACTCCAGGTCTTTTCAGGAATGATACAATATCGAATTATTAGTTCCAATACTGCCACCATGCTTTTTTAACCCGTTTCACTTTGCATTTTTCTCTAAAGCTACACCATTTCCAAACAGCTTCAAGTGTTTTACCTGTGAAAACGCAGGGGATAATTATAACTGCAATCGATGGGCAGAAGACAAATGGTGTCCACAAAGTAAGTGTGCTGAGTTTGGAAGACTCTTTTGTGATCACACCTCATTTAGATCTCTCTCGACTGGCCATGAGCAGAGGCGTCTTAGGTAATGGGATTAGCAAATCAACAGGCTAATGATGTGCTATAGAGATCAGAGATTTCTTTTAAGAGACTATCCAGACATCAGACTTCTCTGAGAGTACTTGGAAACTGATGGCATAGGCACGATCTGTAGTTGTGTGCGCCTTGAGGAAGAATTTTTTAAGTAGTATTTACCAGAGAGAACAAATAGACCACAATGTTGACTGAGACAGTCTAAGAATTTCAGAAATGCTTGATGATACCTCTAGAAAAATCATACTTACTGGCTAAAGCAAAGGAAGTTTTCTGTACTCTCAAGATACACTGATGCTTGGGAAGCTCATTCATTCGAGAAACATTTGAGTATCTGTTTAGTTTGTTTAGTTCACTGCTGTATCCCCAGTGCCTAATCCAGTGCCTGGCCCATATTAGGCACTCAGGAAATATTTGTTGACAGGATGAATGGATGCCTTTGATCAGGTAGTCAGGGAAATCTTCTCTGAGGAATGTACATTTGAACTAAGACCTGAATGACTAAAACAAGCCAGCTATGTAGAGATCTGTAGGAAGAGCATGCCAGGAAGAGGGAACAGCAGATGTAAAGGCTGCAAGAGGCAATTTGGCCTCTTCAATGAACAGGAAGAAGGCTGGCCAATGAAGCTTAGTGGGAGATAGAGAAAGGAGCTGATGGAGATAAGGACCAGGACACACAGGATCTTCTTTTTCTGATATAGAGTTTGGATTTTATGGTAAATGTAATGGGAAGGCAGTAGGGCATTTTAAGCTAGGGAGTACAAGATGCTCATTGTGTTCTAAAATGTTGCTCTGGCTGCTGTGTGAAAAATGGAAGGTTGAGGACAAGCATAGAAGGGTACACCAGGTGGGGTCTTTCATTGTCTTCAGACAGGAGAAGACGGCGACTTGGACTATAGTGGTAGGAATACAGGGGGCGAGAAGCTGAATGATTTAATACAAACAAACCTGGGCGTAAAGCAGACAGGATGTGCTGATGGATGATTTGGAATTGAAAAACTCTAATTAGAGTTATAAGGAGATCAGGCTATTCAGATTTTAGCTTGCACTATTTTTTATGTCTTCAGATGTAAAAGGCCCAGAAAAACAAACTCTTCCAGAGTTAGATTACCAGTTTTGGTTTACTGTTACCTTGAATCTTTTGGAAATTTCTTTATCACATTATTTATAGCAATGAAATAGCCTTAGCTCTTCCAGATAAAGCCAATATATGGAGCCAATAAATAGTACACACTGGAGACCTCTACTCAGCCTAAAAATCTTATGCCGTAGATTAGCACAAATGGCTGTGACATCTACATGGACAATATTTTTCATTATTGAAATGTGTGATGTTCGGTATGAACACATGCAGCTACCATTTTTCAAATTATCAGCATTTTTTTGAGGTTCTTTTACATTTCTGTTCAGTGATCGACCTTAAATTGTGTGCCTGCTTGTGCGTGCATGTGCGTGTGTGAATGTACGCTTTTGAGGATTTGTTTCTGCATTTTTCACAGAAATTTATCTAGTTATTTCAAAGTTTTTGAGGTTGGCTAATGCCTCTCTTTACTAACTTATTTCAGAGGGTGCGTATCATCCTTTAACTATTTGCTTTAAATTCCCCTGAAAACTGGGTGGTAAGGGTTAGAATAGCAGTTAATCGGGGCATTGACGTCCAACCTCTTGAGCCGTATCTTCGTGGACCACACTATTCCTTTGAATTGTACCAAACACTGTCCCTACTAGATCTGTGCATAATGCTCCAACTTCTCATTCATTAATCAAAGCTATGTTTAATGGGAATGTGCTTGGATACTTCTGGGCTTTAGAATTCCATCTCTGTTGAAACGTACGAACGAAAGAGGGAAGCTGCAGCTTTCTACCACCGAGGAAATGTCAGAGGTGGGAGGAGAGAGGAGGGTCAGCTCCTGCACATCCACCCTGGGAACCTGACTTTTAAAGAGATATGGAATGACCCTACATTCCAGCATGCATGACAATACACTTTTGACTGTACACCAGTCAAGTCCCAAAGATACTAACCATCTGGAATTCTAACCGAGGGTAGAATTTCTTACTGTTTTAGTCTGTCATTATTTAGGAGTGATGGCCAACCATATCTTGGGGCAAACAGGCCTGCAGTTAGTGTTCTTTGTCATCTCAGGTTTCCTTTTCACCTTCCAGCTTACTTCTGTGGTCTGTCAGTGTTGTTAAAAGAGGTTCTCTGTGTAACAGGATATGACAAGAATGACATTTTTATTTTATTGACCCTGGCTTTTTTTTTTAGTCTGACTTTCGAGGGCTGCTTTAGCATGTGTGATGTTCTATATGAACACACACCCCCACCATTTTTCAGTTCTCCTTTGTTTGGAGTGTAAATTGAAATGCCTTTCCACAACATTGAGTGGTTCCCTTTCCTTATGAATGCCAAAGTCAGCTACTCCTGTAGAGCACTCAGCAGTGCTGTCTAGTTTAATACTAAGTGGCAGAATACGGAGAGGCAGAATAGTGTTCTGGTTAAGAGCACAAACCCTAGAAAACTGCCTAGGTTAGAATCCTACCTTCCACCACTTTCTACCTATGTGACTGTGGGCAAGAAACTGAGCCTTGGTTTCTTTATCTGTAAAATGAGGATGTTAATATGACTTCTCTTAAGTCTTATTGTAAGGATTGAATGAGTGAATACATGTCAGAAGAGTGCCTGGCTGATGGTAAACCCACTCAATCAATGCATGTTTGCTATTGTTAATATTATTTAAAGCTCACAACAACCCTATCACAAAGCCAGGACACTTACTATCATCATTTTACTAAAAAGAAAATGAGCTCGAAGAATCTAATGTGGCTTGCTCACTTGTGAGAGGGACAATTCCATAAACCCAGTATTCTTAACTTTAGTCGAGTTTTTTCCCCGTCCTGTGACATTGTTGCTGTAGTCCCTTTAAACTAAGAAGCACTTCATTGGCCTGAGATAACTATAGAAGAGATGTAAAACTAAAACAGAATGTTCTAGGATATTGAGTGAAATCACTTTCTTGAAGGAACCCTAAGTAATAAAATGTGAGTGGTTAAAGCTGTAAGCATAACTTGGTGTAGAAATGAGTTAGCTATGGGGGCGGGAGTGGGGGGGTGGACAGAGACAGTAAGAGTTAAAGAAGAAGAGAAAAATGGAAATACTTTGATGAGGAAAAGTCAAACACGTTGGGAGGATCAGAGCATGAATAAGAACTACAGGAGTAAGGAAGGTGATTTTGATGTGCTTCAAAAAAGCAGTTTGAAGCCCCTGCTTTTCATTCTTGTTCACCACATGGCCTATCAGTATATAAGAAACAAATGTGGAACAATGCAAAAGAAGTGTGCTGACACACTGCATTTTACGTTTACAATTTTCATTTTACCTTAGAGTTATCGAACATGTGCTTCAGAGGGACAGAGTCAGAGATACTGACACTCAAATGAAATGAGCAGACCTGTGGTTTTGATGAAAAACTTGTCCTATTTTTTTTCTCAGCTTTAGCCGGCACCAAAGGAGAGGTGCCCATTTATATTCATTTTCAAAATACACATGTGCTTCAGTAGCTAGTGCCTTTTCAAAAATATCACCTAGAAACTCCAGAGTTCACTGCCATTAAATTTCTTGCCTGGAATCCTAAGGATCATCCTGAACTTTAGTCATTTCTGAAATGATTGTTGAGATTTTTCTCTTTTGCAATGTAAAAAATGAAGTTGCCTTTGTTTTTCTTGCCAGATACACAGTACTGTTTGACAGTTCATCACTTTACCAGTCATGGAAGAAGTACATCCATCACCAAAAAGTGTGCCTCCAGAAGTGAATGTCATTTTGTTGGCTGCCACCACAGCCGAGATTCTGAACATACAGTAAGGAATGTGTGTGTGTGTATGTGTGTGTAAAGTTACTGTCCTAAGATTTCTTGCTAGTGATGGTTAGTTATACATCATGGAGAGGCAGGAAGGATAAGTAATATGTTGAACATGTTTATACTTTGAGGAAAGACTCCCTCATAGTGAAGCAATGGAGACTGAAGAGAAGACAACCTTCTGTCCTTCAACAAAAAATAACGTTTCTAAAAACGAATGATAATTCCCAGACTCCAGAGCTAGACCCTAGATCTTGGACTTTGGGCAAATTGTCAGAAGTCAGCTCTGGAAGCCCAAGAGCATACCATCCATGACAGAATGACAAACTCTACAGAGCCCAGCTCACTTATTTTATGGCCAGAAATCACCAAGAACACTGCACAGGGAAGCTGGAAGGTGGAAAGAGGAAAAAGGTGACACCTTTTACTAAGGAAACCTTGTCTCACTCACTACCTCTGCTTCGATGAGGAAGTGAGAGCCTGAAAGATTAACCTCAGTTTAATACAATGAGCTATAGATACATTTTAGATCAATTGATCTCTTTAATTTTCTCATTTTATCGTATATGCCTGGAATCCTAAAATGTTTGGGAAAAAATGACTTGAAAGTATGTTAATTTCATGAAATTTTAGAATTTGATTTAGCCTATATGCACAGAAAATGGTTCTGACAACAGAGTTTTTAGCTCTTGCTACACAGGAGAATCTCCTGGGGAGCTTTTATAAGCTATGTTGGGGGTGGTAGGAGTGTATCCCTGACCAATTGAATCAGAACTTCAGGGTGGGTTCCTGGGCATCAGGATCTTTTTTTTTTTTTTTTTTAAGATCCCCAAGGTGATTCTGATGTGCAGCCAGGGTTGAGAACCACTGATATAGATACTTGATCTTCCCTAGCCATCCTGGAAGGTTGAAGCATTTTACCAGGTCTTATGGCAGGAGATTGCTTCCCCTAAAAACCCCTTGTGCTGTGAGGGAGCAAGCCTTTTTCACTGCTCAGCAGCCATAATTAGCAAGCCATTGCTGCTGTAATGATAGGAATCAGGTGCTAGCAGAGACAATAGAGAGTCATTATTATCCCCTAACAAGTAGTACTGAGAAGGAAAATCAATGACTAATCCAAAAGTTTCCTAGCTTTCATTTTTGTTTCAGTATTTTTCCTTACAAAGCTTTAGAAGATTTGTTGACTCAATCAAGCAGTCTTATTCAGTTTCCTTTCCTCTTCTTTCCCTTGATTATGCTTGGGTTGATGCAGATAAATCACAGTTAACATGAAAAGACTCTTAAGACGATCCTTACTTTCAGTGGGGGGACGGTGACTCATAGACTGGATAACCAACCCTTACTTCTCTCTGTTCTCAGAGCTGAAGAAGCCTTTCTTTTGTTTTGCTTGGTTTCACCCTTCCCTCTTCTTCCTAGTATTCACTCTTCTTTCTCTCTCCTCTTCCTTTTGTAACAGGAGTGTCGGTCTTGCTGTGAAGGAATGATCTGCAATGTAGAATTACCCACCAACCACACTAACGCGGTCTTCGCCGTAATGCACGCTCAGAGAACGTCCGGCAGCAGTGCCCCCACGCTTCACCTCCCAGTGCTTGCCTGGTTCTTCGTGCTTCCATTGCAATGATGCCACCATACCAATGAGAGGCAGAGACCCGCCCTCTGAAGCACAAGCTAACAACTGTGAAAACAGTGAATTTCTGAGTGAAGACCGATATTGCACTTGGTCAAGAGTGCATATTGGACCCCAAAGCAGAAGCCGTTTTTTGCTTAGCTACAATGCTCCTGCATGAGGTCACTGGATTGAGGAAGGGGATTTGGCAGGGACTGAGGGGATTTTCTGGCTTCCAGGCTTCCTGGTCAAGGGGGCTGCATTTTGTCACTTCTGCAGGGGTCCTGCCATTCTACAACGGGCAGGTCCAGTAGCCTGTATTGTCCTCGCCTGACCAGGCCTTGAGCTGAAAGGACTCCTTGACCTCGTTGACTTCTTCAGAGGCTGCTGGGTCAGACCCTCTTGTTTCTGTGATTAGCTCAGAGTGTCCCAAGAAATCTAAGTCTTCCCCCAATGAGAAATTAGTTCCCCTACCAACAGTGTAGTCAATGAGAAAGGCAACTATAGGAGGAAGACTTCCAGTTGAACTAATAGGAAACCCATTTGCTAATTGTGGGGGGAAATAAAGCTTTTAAATTATACAATGTAAAAATGCATGCTTGTGTGTTTCTTGACTGACATGGAGACCTCAGATGAAGCACATTTGCCAGTATCATAAAGGAGCTCACTGAAGTTATGTTTCTGTGCACCATGGCTGGTATATTCTGGCTTAAAGTATAAAATTCCATGTCAAAGTGACTTGGTTTTCTTTTTTCGGGAAGGACACTTCTTAGGATGCTAAATACAAAATTAATGAATTGAGAAGATCAGGAAACCTCCCACATTCAAGGAGGATGACACCTTATCGTATGATGCACCCTCAGCAGTAGCAGCTTAAAGTCAGAGACCCCGTACAGTCAACTTCTCTCTGAATGTCAGGGCCACCAAGAGAACCTTTCTAAACACACACTAAAATGTGTAGTCCCTTGTGTCCTTCTCTTTCCCTTTTATAGCACAATCTCAGAATTTCAAATGAGCAACTTCTTTCTGTCTTTAGAATCCTGATTTCCTGCCTTTACACTTTGGGGTGATCCTTAAACACTCTGTCCTTGTATGTATAATGATGAATTAATGGAGTATTTTGTTTTTTCTATATAAGCATCTACCATTAGAATGCTGAGTGCTCTGTAGAATCCATTAATGATGCTATCCTGGCCACGTAGGCTCTCCTATGATGGCAGTTGGCAAATTATGGCCCATGGGCCAAATATGTCCCACCACTCTTTTATAATTTTATTTATTTATTTTTTCCCCCAAAGCCCCAGTAGATAGTTGTATGTCATAGTTGCACATCCTTCTAGTTGCTGTATGTGGGATGCGGCCAAGGCCGGAGAAGCGGTATGTCGGTGTGCGCCCGGGATCCGAACCCGGGCCGCCAGCAGCAGAGCGCGAGCGCTTAACCGCTAAGCCACCGGGCCGGCCCAATGTCCCACCACTCTTAGTCTGCTCCACCTGCTGTAACAAATATACTGTTGATTGAGTGGCTTAAACGAAAACATTTAATCTTCACGGTTCTGGAGGCTAGGAAGTCCAAGATCAAGGTGCCGGCAGATCTGGTGTCTGCTGAGGTCCTGCTTCCTAGTTTGCAGACTGGCGTGTTTGTTTGTTAGTTTATTTATATTGATGTCTTAATAGTTTATAACATTGTGAAATTTTGGTTGTACATTTTTGTCAGTCACCATATACATGTCTCCCTTCACCCCTTGTGACCACCCCCCACCCCCACTGCCCCTGGTAACCACCATACAGTTTTCTCTGTCCATGTGTTGGTTTATATTCCGCATATGAGTGAGATCATACGATGTTTGTCTTTCTCTTTCTGGCTTATTTCACTTAACATATTACCCTCCAGGTCCATCCATGTTGTTGCAAATGGGACGATTTTGTCTTCTTTATGGCTGAGTGGTATTCCATTGTATGTATATACCACATCTTCTTGATCCAATCGTCAGTTGAGGGACACTTGAGTTGCTTCCACTTCTTGGCTATAGTGAATAATGCTGCAGTGAACATAGGGGTGCATAAGCCTCTTTGGATTGTTGATTTCAGGTTCATTGGATATATTCCCAGTAGTGGGATAGCTGGATCATAGGGTATTTCTGTTTTTAATTTTTTGAGGAATCTCCCTACTGTTTTCCATAAAGGCTGCACCAGTTTGCATTCCCACCAGCTGTGTATGAGGGTTCCCGTTTCTCCAAATCCTCTCCAACATTTGTTATTTTTTGTCTTGGTGGTTATAGCCATTCTAATGGGTGTGAGGTGATATCTTAGTGTTGTTTTGATTTGCATTTCCCTGATAATTAGTGATGTTGATCATCTTTTCATATGCCTATTGGCCATCTGTATATCTTCTTTGGACAAGTGTCTGTTCATTTCCTCTGCCCATTTTTTGATCGGTTTGTTTGTTTTTTGTTGTTCAGTTGTGTGAGTTCTTCATATATTATGGAGATTAACCCCTTGTCAGATATAGGTTTTGCAAATATTTTCTCCTAGTTGCAGACCGGCATGTTTTTATATCCTCATAAGGCAGAGAGCAGAAAGAGAGCTCTGGTCTCTTAATTCCCTTATAAAGGCACTAATCCCATTCCTGAAGGTTTCGCCTTCATGACCTAATTATCTCCCAAAGGCCCCACTTCCAAATACCACGACGTTAGGAATTTAGGCTTCAGCATGTGAATTTTGGGGGGACACATTCAGTCCATAGCAACCACCTATTTTTGTGAATAAATTTTTATTGGGACACAGCCACGTCTGTTCGTTCACATATTGCCTATGGCTGCTTTCATGCTATAACAGCAAGGACGAGGAGGTGCAGCAGAGAGTATATGGCCTACATAGTCTAAAAGATTTACTCTCTTGCCCTTTACAGGAAAAGTTTGCTGATCCCTAGTTTATGAAATGGTAAAACTGCATTGGGAAAAAGCTGCTGGCTTTGCAGGGACCACCGTGCTAATGGTGGTTACTCAGCCTGTGCCATGGTTTACCAAATCACTTCCCTTATTTTCTTTGTCTTCTGTATCAGTGAATTTTTCTTCTCTGTTTTGATTGTTTGCACCAGTCATTCAATTCAGTCTCTGTAATTACATGCTTATGTCTGTATGTTTGTTGCTTCGCGTGCTTGATGCACTGGGAGCATCTCATCTTAAGGCTCTTTAGCTTACAATAAAACAGGGAGGGGGCAGACATCATTATCTCCCTGTCTCTGGCCCAACCATAGACTCACCTGGAAGCATCGGTTTTGAACACTGATGTCGATTTATCCTGCCTTTCACTCAGCGCCTTGAAGTATTTGAGTTTTCATAGCTTATGCTTGTTTGAAATTAATTATATATGGCTTCACTTGGAACATTTTAATAGCATCTTTGCTGTCTTTTTAGTCCTCAGAGTTTCTTTTGACTGTGTAATTGATGAATTGTCTGGTATAAAACCATTAGCAGACAGTATTTTTTTTCTGATTTTGTTTTTGCTGTCCAGATTAGTGAATTTTCCTTTGTGTGTGTTTTTTCTTTCTTTCCTGAGGAAACATCTTAATTTCCTCTTCTTTGCCCCACATATCATGTTTGCATGGATTTCACTGCTCACCTCCACTCCCTTAAGCATTTAAAATAGGGCTAGGTTGAGCAAAAGTGGGAAAGCACAGAGGAAACAAACTCCTGGCAGAGACAGCCTAGTGAGTAGGGGTGCAGATTTACAAATAGAAATATGGGATGCCCCATTAAATCTGAATTTCAGATAAGCAACAAATAAATTTTTATATGTTATTCATGAACTCACAAGTCTGGCTCATCTAAGGCAATGTTTTCCAATCCTTGTAATAAATCCGAATCTTCTGGGTAACTTCAAAACAAAAAAATTCCCAGGGCATCCTGGGGATGTTGACTGAATAGATGGGATGAAGCACACACCTAACCCCAATCATTGAATGTTAAATTTAAAAAAAAACAAAGCTCCCAGGTGATTCTGATGCTCAGCCAGGTGTGTTACCCTTGACCTGAGAGGAGGATTCCTTCCTCTGAAGCCCAGTCGTTGGTCACATAATAGAAATGCTAATGAATAATAAACATGTGCACAAGGAACCCGGGGTTAGAGCCGTGGTTTTCAAACCATAGTCCCCAGACCAGCAGCGTCAGCATCACCTAGAAACTTGCTAGAAATGCAAATTCTCAGGCTCCATCCCAGACCTATTGAATCAGGAGCTCGGAGGGTTCAATCTGTATTTTAATAAAGCCTCCAGGTGCTTCTGATGCACACACAAGCTCAAGAACCACTGGACCAGAGAAGCACTTCCCCAATGTCTTCGGTAAATGGGTCCTTGGTGGCTGCGTGAGAATCACTCAGGGAGCTTGTAAAGAACAAAAAGAAAACAGAAAATCAAACTCCTGAGCCCCAACTCCAGAAAGTCAGATGCTTTATGTCTGAGGTTCATCAGATAGTCTATTTTTAACAAACTCAACAATTGATTCTGTTACACAGCCACTTTGGGACCCACTAAACTAGAGAATAAGAAATGGGGTAATGTTGTGAGCAGAAGGCCAGACTCCACCATCTGACCTCTGAGTTCTAACATAAAGCCCTCTGCATTATAAGTTGACTCTGTGGTGTCTCCAGTGTAATATAAAACTAGAATCCAAGAAATAAATCCAATCATTAGAGTTCTTTACATGGATTTTTTTTTTCAATCCATTCCATAGGGACCAGGAATGGCCAAATATTCCAAACCTCAGATTAATTTAATTTGCCCCTAGTGAGCAAGAAAATGAAAAATACTTTGGCATAAAAATATCTACTGTGAATTGGGGTAGCTGGGGTAGGAAAGGAGGAGAATATGTAGATTTGTTTTATAAAAGAGACAAGGGGATTTGCAATGAATATGAGGAGGGTCTGAGGGAATGGCCTGTCAAAGGTCCATTTTGAATAGATCTGCATTCTAGAATAAACTTTGAATTCCCATTCATCAACCATTTTCTGAAAAAAAAGTACCAAAAACATTTTTTCCCAGCTATGTCTAAACTCTTCATAAATCCAGTTCTGAGTGAAGTTAGCAGTCAGAAATTACAGGCATGATTTCCCATACACTCTGCATTCTCAGTCATGTCAGTCACTGTGTACAATATATGTCATAAGAAAGGGAAGGAGGTGGGTCAGTTTCTCTTTCTTACTGAGAAAGAACTTATAAAGCCATGCAAAGCATGAAATGAGCATTATGAACTGGCATGGACTTGGGGAGTGAGGTATAGTGTGGAATCAGGAAAATATATTTCACATTTGTGAAATTACTAACTCATGCAAAATTTTTGTGACATGTAAATTGCCATCTTATAAAATTTTGCTCTGACCTTTGGATCTTAGACATTTTATTTTTCACCTAGTTCTTTGTCATCGACCCTATGATTTGTGGAGGGTTACATAGTGATGCTAGATACGTCTGGGTGCAATTCATGCCGGAAGACAAAGGCTAGTAGTGGGTGCACAAAGGTGAAAGTTGTAGAAACTGGAAAATAAATGGCCACCATAATTTGAGTC